ACGGACAAGTGAATGCGAGTGTAAGAGTACGCAATAGTGAAAGGGCCCGAAGGGAAAGTTGAGAACTTGTCTTTCGGGCCTTTTCTCCAACTTTCCATTCGGGGTTGGAGTCTGGGCTTCATCGCCACTGAACGTTCATTGCAGGTGATTGCGGTGTTCTGAGAAACGTGTGCGCTCCCACCCAGGTTTGGCGGGGAGCGGAGGGGGGAGAGGGGTCGCAGAGGCAAAAGTAGGGCTTGAACTTGGGAGACGAAGAAGCATAAAAAAACGGAAAGAAGAAAGAGAGAGATAGAGATCTTGCTGGACTACCAGCTATGGATTTAATGCTTCTTCCTCTGCTTGAACCTTAACTGTCTGCTTCTTCTTTCCTGCTCATCCTGGGAGCACCAAATAATCCAAGGATGAAATAAAATGAAATTAAATAAAATAATAACCACATACATTCTACATACAATCCCAGATTGACAAACCGCAATCCAGCAGGGCGTGACACACAGCTAATACTGTTTTTCTTTTGCGGTGAGCTTTAGTAGGACGTGACACGCAGCAAATACTGTTTTTTCTTTGATGGATGGATGCAGCTTGATGGATGGCACGCAAACACGTAACTCTTCATTTTCTTCGATCGCCATGGTCTTCGGCATCTCTCGTGAATACTGTTTTCGTTTGTTACGAGGATGGTAATGCTGTTGAAGGCTGCGCTACATTTACAGATGCGGCAATGAGCTGGTAGATGGCCCGCTGTAGTTCTCTTGAGAGGTGCTGCATGCTCACGTGTCCTATCATTAATACATCTGCCAGTTTGACCTATGTAGCGTTTGCCACATGATAGAGGAATATTATAAACAACCCCCGTTTCACACGGTGCATATTGTCTCCTATGAGAGATGTTGCAAATTTTCCTTTCGTTGGTGTTCCGGTTTATATTGCGGCACATGGAGTACGCTTTATTTGGTGCAGAGCACACGACCCTAGTGTCGTGCCTCGCGGCTATCTTTTTTAATCTATGAGTACTCCCATAAATGTACGGTATTACTGATATGTTTTGTTGAGTTTTTGTCGTCTCTCTTCCGTCTGTAATAGCTGATTTGTGCTTAAGTTTTGTGCAGATGTTTCCGCACACACAAACCAGGAGACCAATCGGATACCCAGAATCACCCAGTCTGGAAATTTACTTGTTAAACCTTTGCCCAATATTATGATTGCAGGATTTGTGTAAGGTAGATACAAGAGCAGTATTAGCAACACTTCGTTTTAGTGTTTTTGGAATGCTCGGATGTAAAAGGAAGGAATCCTTTGCTTGGCCTTGGTTTGTATTTCCAACACACGTGTATTTCATTAAATTCTAGTGTGAGGTCCAGGAACTGGATGGACCTATTAACATAAAATCTGGGTGAATGCCAGAGATGGCACTAATGACATTGCTGTAATGGAATTACATTAATTAAACTACTTTTTGGAGCAATGAGTAATGTAATGAAGTACTTCTCTGGGCTAGCAATTTAGTAATGTAATGAATTACTTTCAGGCAGTAATTTCGAGAAAATTCCTCATTACTTTTGAAATTACTTATGTCATAAATTATAAAATTCGTTCGCAAGCTTTAAAAAAGAAGAACAATTATTTTGCATGGTGAAATGTTGTGAAAGAGAATCAGAGGAAATAATCGACGGCCACCTGAGCGCAAAGTCTCGTACGAAGAGCTGAACAGACACACAAAGGAGGACTGGAATGGCGATGTAAAAAAGCTTACATATAGACATCCCTGGAAGGCTAAAGGCTTATGAACTCCAGGCACGACAGATTCACGGCGTCGCGTCATCACGACGATACTATACTTCGTTCATCTCTAAGTTGACAGTGCGGTGGGATCTGCAAGCTAACCAGAACCAATCAAACACCTTCCTTTAATCACCTGACCCGTCCCTTCCTCTGCGCGTGGGTATGAACGAGAGCGTGGTGACGTGGCGAACGATAGGCGTGTGACTGCTGCAACAAACACGTAACTTCCACCGTTCATCCCTAAGCTGACAGTGCGTCAGCTTAGGAATGAACGGCTCATAAGCTACAAGGCGACGGGCACATTACCAGTGAGTTAAACATAATTTAAAACCTGAGAGGACCGGTGTTCGACGTCATGATGTACGTGCAAGACATAGATGCCGGGTTTTTTTTGTTATTGCAGATTTGTTTTAAAAGAAGCCGTGAACGCTACACTTATGCGGTTTGTGCGAGTGAGTTATACGCCCAGAAGGACATTATGTAGTTTGCTAATCTTTGCGAAAAGTCTGATAATTAATTAAAATTCATTAATTAAATTTTACTTAGCGAACATAGACATATGGTTTCAATTAAAAACTGGCTGAGCGTCGTCCAAAACCCTTAAACCAGTAATTTTTAGAAAGACTTTGAGCGCGTGTGAAGCGCAGTAGTGCGCTGAAGTTACCACTCGTGGACCAGGTTCAAGGCTGGAGCTAGATAGGAGACGGAAAAATTGCGCGGGCACCTTACTGAAACCGCTAGCCTTGTACCTGCTCCACGAGTGGTAACTTTAGTGCACTACTACGCTTCTCACGCGCTGAAAGTCTTTCTGAAAATGACTGATTTAGGGATTTCGGACGACACTCAGGAAGTTTCTTATTAGAACCATATGTCTATTTTCATTAATTGAAAAGGTAAGTAGTAAATTTCAAATAATTAGCCGACTTATCGCAAAGATTAGCCGCCCACATAATGTCCCCCTGGGCGTATAACTCACTCGCACAAACCCCATAAGTGTAGCATTTCATGACTTTTTTTTAAAACAAATCTCCAAGAATAAACAAAAAACACCATGTATATGAAAGTTACCTTATTTGATTGGGGCATATTTGCCCTAATATGGGAGGCAGGTATACCCTATTTGGCAGACCCAGATATGGATATTTAAAAAATTGGGCAGATCTGGCTAGATAAGGCTTATATAAACTGATGTGCTTGATATGGCCAGATATGCCCAATTTTTTATATAACCATATTTGTTTTTTTGTCTTTTTATATAAGTCCATGGACTTATATAAAGTAAGGGCAGTAGCGTGACACACCATCAATATCGACGAGCCGCACGAGCTCCTTCCGACCGCACGGTTATGACGAACCCGGCATCCCGTGGATACCTGTGACAGAAGCCGAAATTATTTCAAAGATTAATTCTGCAAGGCCTCCGTGAAGAGGCAGAGTCTAAATTTTAAAAAAGACGGTGATGTTGGGAAGTTTCTTCGAATGTTTTAATATTCGCGAAAAAATTGAAGACTGGCGTCGAGCACATATGCGGGAAGTTACCTTGACCGATCTGTTTATTGGCCATGCACGCTGTTCAGACTTAAACTAAAGACAACATTTTGAACCCGCTTGTTGACGCAGGAAACTGTAAAAGTTGTCAGATATTCCGTCTCGCAGCGCGAGACGGAACCCGTCGATGTGCTACGCGGATTCCGTCCCACCGCCGTTTAGTAGATAACAGGTCAAGTCGTTTTCAGGCAAGGTGCACGAACAAACCTTTTCTGCAATGCTAACTGGTGGTTCGGCTTTCCAATTGAAGTATCTTTATTCGCTATGCTAAGCATGATAAAATGGGCAGTTCGGTTCGACTGTCTTTTTCTTTCGAGCACGTTTCTGTCACTGATCTATCGCTAGGCTACTGTTTGATGTATTAATTCGTTTTTAGGCGAGATGCACGAACAAACCTTCTCCGGAACGCTAATTGATGTCTTGGCTTACAGATCAAATCGATTTTTCCCCGCTGGATTAACCACTAATCAACTCAAAAGGGGTGGCGGTCTGGCAGCACCTTTCGTCTCGACCTTTCCGTAAGTGTAGCCATCTTGTTTGTGGACGTGACGTACCGGAGCGCGAAGTCACTCGCGCTCCGAGAAATCCCCGGTGCACGAAGTGTGCGCTCGAGTGTCAGTCTCCGGGGGCGCTCCTGTCCGGCTAGCGAACGGAGCGCCAAACTCTCGCGCACCGGAACACGGACTTAAAAAACCTGCGCAACAATTTCAGTGCTTTGCTTAAATAAGTCGTGAGTTGGTGTCCCGACCTTTCTGAAGCAAAGAACAAAACACCGCTTTTGCCTGCATGACCTAGTTTTTATTCTAAAAATGGATAAAGATTGAGGTTTTCGGCACCTCTCAACCCCTTCACATTCTTCCGAGTTACGTACGCTGTGGCGTGAATGGGGGACGCGCGGCGTCCCGGTGAAGCTCTCTCTGTAGAGCCATCAATGAGCAGAGAGAACTCACCCGTTCGCGACCACGTGCTTGCGCAGGCAGCGCGATCAACATGGCGAGAGGAGGAAAGTCTCATCCGGGTCCGGCCATCCCCGTCCGGCTCTGCCCCCGTTCCCCTCCAGCTTCTGGCGGCTGCTCACGGTAGCAGATAGAGGTGACGATTTTGTTGACCTCGGATAGATGGCGCCACTAAAGCTCCGTATAATAAAAGTTTTGTTGATGATACCAGATTTGTCACGCATTTATAATTATGTTGGAACGAAAAGGATTTATAACAAAATTACCTTTTATCGAGCTGGTATTTGCGCAACTCGCTATCTTTCTACAAGTCCCCCATTGACGTCATGCCGCGTGGTTCTCATGGCCGCCACTCGCGGCTGGAGGTCGTGAAATATTCTAATTTTCGCCTAGCAATTACGCGGTGGAATCGCAAGAGTTTGAAGGAAGGAGATGTGTTTTCTGTCCTTTGTGAAAAGATAAACAATGTCAAAAGTAGAAGATGCAAACTCTTTCAGCGTTAAAATCGTTGCCCAGCTCCTTTAACGCGCCCATTGTTCGCGCGGTAGTACCCTTCTTGTGTGCTGTCACGTAATTTGCCTTTTTTTTTCACGTTATATCAAATCTTTTCAGTTAAGAGCTGTCAACCTTTCACAAAACATACTGCACACCTAAATGGATGTCCAAACAGGATACCGCAAATCCTGTCACGGCAAACAACAACAAACAAAAACCTGCAACTTTTTTTTTTTTTTTATCTCGCATCCGTTTTTGGTTTGGACACCAACCACGTAAACAGCTCGGCTTTCTTTCTCGCCTTCTTGCGGTCACTTTTCATCTTTCTTGCTTTCGGAACAGCGGAGGCCTTGATGACCGTCAGCAGAGCATGTGAGTGGCTGTCCGAACTCAAATGATGGGCATGCTCCAAGCCTTTGTCCAAGAAACGAAGGGAAGCTAAATGTTCCCTCGTCCAACAAAACAACAACAAAAACCTACAAACGTTGGCAGATCTTCGTTTACATTACAAAGCGCCATTCAGAGAGGTGTGACGTTGTCTGCACACCGCGGAACAAAGCGCAACTTCTGCGGAAACGGAACGTGGAAATTCTGGCTCCTCGGGGCGAGGTTGATGTTCGCGCCTTCCGGGGGCAAAACCCGAAATCGCTGAAAGATGGACGCCACGTAGAGGAAGACCTCCGCCATGCCGAGGATTTCTCCGGGACACATTCGCCTTCCTGCGGGAAGAAAGCCACATCAGGTCGAGGTCAATGTTTTTTGCTGTTACCTGACCACCGATTCGCCTGACGATGGAACGCAGCGGACTGTATACGAGTCATTCCAAGTGAATCCAAAGCTTTAAACGCGTCACGTGACCAGTTACCCCGCGCGTTGTCGCACCCCTCCTGAAAGTAACGTAATAATCACGCGGCTTGAGTTGGCTTCGATAAATCAAATGGCTTGAGTTGGCTTCGATAACTCGTAGCGTCCCCTGCGGTTCATTGTTAGGTGAAACTGAGTATAGGTAGGAACCAAAGCGATGAACGTTGAATACGATGACTGGCGTTTCCTGTGTGTGTGTTTTGTGCTTTTAATAAAGTTTTGGTGAGTCTCGAAGTGGCGAAACAATCGCTTCCTCATTCAGAGCTCTCCATGAAATTTGTCTTGGTTCCGTTTTACGAGAGCTGACATCGTTTATCCTCAAAGATTGCGCTAAACTATTCTGCTAAAAGGCACTCATATAGCCATTTATAAGTACAACTAGATGAAAAACGATTTCAAACAGGTGTTGGTAAGGTTGTGAAACCTAGATGACAGAAAAAGCGAAATAGGAACTAGCCGCTTCTGTTTACAGAAACCTTCGTGTCGCGTGCGTTACAAGCAATGTATTTTAACGTGTGGTACAGGCAGGCGTTGCGTGTTTAATTTGCAACGCCTGCTCATCATTTCGGAAGAATATTTTGTTCCGGTCAAGCTAATATTCCGGCCGTAAAACGTTACGTACCAAGTGAAAAGGGAATCAGGTATTCTGGCTTCGGGATGAGACAGGTGCCGTCTTCACTCAGAAACCGGAATGGGTCAAAATCTTCTGGGTTCTTCCACAGCCTGGGATCGCTGTGTACAGCCCGGACATTGGGCAGGAGCATCGTTCCCTTGGGTATGCTGTACTCGCCGACGATGATGTCTTCGATTATCCTGAATAGAAGATTTGTTTTTTCTTTAGGCGCTATAAAAACAGGAACTGGAGGAGAGGAGGAGATGAAAGCGCACGAAGCTCCGCTCTGATTGGAGTGACTAGTGGGTGCAAAGGATATACTGCCTTCCAAAGCAGCACGTGATTCGGCCAAGCATTGGCCAATGGCTGGCAATGATCTTTCGGCCAATGGCCAAAAAGTAGCCATTCATCGGTCAATGCTTGGCCGATGCCTGATGTCCACTGGCCATTGGCCAAGGGCCAAAGAAAGGCCAGTCATCAGCCAGTAGCTGGCCACTGTCTTGCCAATGGGTGAAGCACCATTTCCAGCCATTGGCCAATGATTGGCCAAATCTGTGCTGCTTGGTTTGTCTCTAACCACCGTTTCCCTCCAATCAAAGCAAACCAGGGCGCTGTCTGCTCTTTGCACAAGGTCTGTCATTGAAACGCCAAATGTTTTGAACATCAGTACATTCAACCAGTTTTGAAATGTTCAGATATACGTTATAAGTATGGTTACGGCTTGTGTGTACAATGGTGCACAAAAAAGACAACTACTGAAGAAAGTAACAGGCACACAGTGCATCACTATCCGTGTGGTCACCTTTTGTGAGCGCAGTTCTCACCGCGCCTCGAAAGCATGCTGCTCCAACTAGGTCAAACTTCAGTCGCATTTCGTGCAATGAGTTCTAACGGGAAGCCTTGATTAGTGTCAAGCGAAGTGGATGGTCTTACTCTCGTGGTCCGCCAAAGGTTGAGTCGGTCCTCCAGCGGAACATCTCCCATATGGTGGCCACGGTGAGAGGCATATTTTCGTGGTCTTCCCACGATGGCGACCGATCTTTGCCGACCACTTCGTCGATTTCGCGCTGAATCATCAACTGGAGATTGTCGGGCTGAGAGGCCAGGTACAGCACGTTCCACTGTATCGCCGAGCGGACTGTCGTGGAGCCGGCGACAAAGAAGCTGAGCACGTTTCCCAAGAGGTGATCCACTGCGTGGGGAGAAAAGCACTCTCAAATCTTGGAGATCAATCAGAGCTCGTCGTTCTGACGTCACAAGAACCCCTGCAAAAGAAGCAGAGGAACTTGCGCTCCGCATAGCGAAGAGCAATAATAATAACATTCTTATTTCTAGCGCCCACAAACACCAGCGCCGTTGACCTACAAATGTATGTCTATAATCAAAACATAAAACAAAATTTACGAAGAAGAAAGACGATTATCACGAAGTTATGGGAGTTATTATGACAGGTAGCTTAATTTGAAAACATGTTTTAATTATAATATTAATGATCTTTACTTCCTATTTTCAAAGGCGGAGACCGAAAAAAAAAACGCACAAAGCGGCTTCACAAGCTCTCGGCCCCCAATATGGCATTCTGCAGAAGAGAAGACGCAAGATACAAAACTGAAAAACATTATTAGACGAAAAAAGAATAATACATCAAATCACGTAAATCATGCATCGTTTTTTTTTTTTTTTTTCTCTGAGATAGCATCATTCGAGTGAAAAGTATTATGCAGTTTTGGGTAAACTATACCATAACCTTTCTTTTCCAATATTTAGGTCACAACTGACCACATCCAAGTATTAGGGGTTACATATTGTATATTCGGAAACACATTGGTATTAACCAGCCAATTTTGTCATGTAGGTATATTATTGAACAGCTCATTTTCTTATCTTCTAGAAAGCCTATAATTATACATGTTATTATGCTTATTATTTTATGCATTCTGAACAGGTTTTCAGTATGCGAGTAAAAAGGCACATTAGCAATATTGCGTAATATTCGCTTTTTGAAATATATGCATTATCTAGAGATTTGTTGCTGTGGTAGTACACTAAACCTTGTAGCCATCAAATAATAATTATACTGTGTATGTTTATGCTGCAGGAAGTGAGTAAGCCCTCATTGGGCTCCTGCTGTCTTTGTTGTGAATGAGATATTTAACCAGTGCAGTATCACTACCAGCCTGGAATCAATAACGTACATCACGCAGTACTGATACATTACCGCATGCCGCCACGATGTTCATTCAAATCGAATTGGACAGGGTTAGGGGCTTAGCCCAGGTTTTTGTGGCCATGAAGGCTCAGAAAAATACATTCAGGTGCTACGTCATTTTACGCTAGGCGTCGATGTAACGTGATACAAGTAGACAATTTTGTATCTAGTTTGTGGGAACTTTGCATTTTTGTATGTTTAGATGGGACTAGAAATATCACTTGTTCTACGTCCTCAAAAAAAAAAATATCCTTACCTAAAAAAAAAGTTTTTTTGTTTCATTTGTGTAAAAACTTACGCCTGGTCATTGTATTTTGTTCAAATGTTTAGCCAGCAAGATTCAATACACACAAGCTGGTATGTTTTCCTGATGAGCTAGTTCCAACACGACTCAAACCGAGACTAAAAGCCCATGTCACGACGCATTTCTTGCCGTTGATTGGATCAGTTGACCGTAACACATGCTTGCAAAAAATTCCGTGGTCTTCCGCTTCTCGAAAAGCTTGATTGGCCCCATGGGCTCGTGACGTTGGTAGCGCTCGGAAACCAAGATATACAGCTATGCCTCGTTAATATGAACTCCGTTAATATGAAAACCCCCTGTATGAACACCATTTTCGGGGACAAGCTGGGAAAATACATGTCTTGTTATCTAAGACCATTCACATTTCGGACTTTTTTTTTTTTTTTTCTTGTGGAGCGAAGGTGTTAATTTTAACGAAACATCAGCATCTTCCAAAACTATTGCGAAATAGTGTGGCTTCTTGCTCGCTTTTTATTTATTTCTGCTTAATTTTGTTCGCTCCAATTTGTTTCAATATTATCTTTATTTGCTCATAGTTAGACTTACTTGTGTAACTGGAATTCGAATCATCTTCGTGTTCCTTGATTGTCTTCAAATAACTGTCGATGAAATGCCAATCTCCCTTTTCTGTCTGTGACTCCCGATATTCCTTGACTTGATTTCTGCAAATGAAATTAATACCACAATATAAAGCAATTCAATATTTTGATCGTGATTATTTGCGTCCGTCCACTCAATTATCTCGATTATGCCGTCCCTTTTTCCGACAACTTTACTTAAAATCCTTGCTGTGGTTTGTTTCACCGTAAGTGAGAAGTGCAGTCAAAGACTAGGAAACATTCGGACACGGACACAGATCGTACTAAAATCGCGAGGTCAGGGTGCGTTCACTGAGCTCTGTTGGCTAAGCTGATCATAAAAGACGCACAACGAGATGACGAACACTCTGACGTTGCATATGTGGATATCGTATATATATATATATATATATATATATATATATATAAACGAATATGTGCAGATGAATGAACCGTACTTAATCCAATGAATCAAAGAATCCATGTTTTCAGGAACCCGCCGAAAGCCAAAAAACGGCGGAGCCAGGATTTGAACTCTGGGCCTCCCAATGTCCGGTCGGGTGTGCTAACCTCTACACCACTCCACCTTGGCTTTCTGGCGTTTCCTACCTGTCTTATTGATGCACAAGAAACGAAATGTGTCCAATCGGAAGTGTTCTGGAAACACACCGCCGCGTGGAACGCGGTACGACGCTTAGTGTCACGTGGTACGTGCTCGTTTGTGCTCCAGAAATCCTCCCACTGTTTGTCTCGCCCCGTGTACATGTAGTATTCTACATGTACACCGAAAGCCAAAAAACGGCGGAGCCAGGATTAAACTCTGGGCCTCCCAATGTCCGGTCGGGTGTGCTACCCTCTACACCACTCCGCCTATATATATAGGTGGAGTGGTGTAGAGGTTAGCACACACACCACACACACACACACACACACACACACACACACACACACACACACACACACACATATATATATATATATATATATATATATATATATATATATATATATATATATTAGCGCTTTCTTTGTTACTTTTTTAAGAAAATTGTATTTTAAGACTAGACACTTTTCTATTTATAAGAGAAATATATCCGCCAATGCTTTGGTCATACCCGACGAATGACCTTACAAAAAAAATATATTGCGTTAGCACGTTCTTATGTAGCAATAAAATTGATTTACAGAAGTACGCTACTCAACGTAAAATTAATCACGCCAACGCGTAAGATTTTCAGTGTTCAATGTCATTTCTTTGCCTGCCAACGAACATGATCTTCACTTTTCGACTCATGCCCTGGAAAGCACCAAAACAGAGCTACACGCTTCTTACTTTTTTAATGCGGTAGAATTTTTGGGCAACGTCTATTCACTCTTGCGCCCGTGGCAAGGTTCGTAAATAAAGAAACAGGCGACGCGCATCTGTTATATATCCACTTTAATTATGCATAAAAGCGGTAATGTGCCCACGAATTTGATATAGCTTTTATAGCTTCCGAGCGGCTGGATATTATTATGGTCGTATCAACGTAGTAAGTGCGAAACGTTTGAACTGTGGTATTCCTACAACAAACGTCGTTGACCTGTCCGCGGGAAGTAGACAGATAGAACAAATTATGTGGATTTGGTTTAAGTGTGATAAAAGTATTCATAAACGTCGAAGAAACATATTTTACATTTTTTACAGCAGTTTTTAAACAGTGTTAAACAGTGTAACAAAGAAAACACGTTTTTGCTGTACGAGACGGTGTTAAAGTGTTATCGCATTTCAACAATAACCTGCGCAGCTATTTTCTGGCAGCAATCTTTAAGCACGGAGAACCATAGCTGCAGCGACCAAAAATTAACTTCCAATTTGCAGAAAAAAGAATCACGTCGGTTATGTTGTTCAAGGGCTCCAGAGATGTCGTACCTGGTATACTGGAGGAGATTATGCCCAAGACTTTTAATGAAGTTGCACGTGGAAGACGGAATGAGCGCCATCAGGTTGAACGCCCACAGGGGTAGCACCGAGACTATGGAGTCTTTAGTCAGAACGTCGATGGTTTCGTCGAGGCGGTCGTCCATGTACTTCCGTCTGGCGTCGTCGTAGTCGTAGCGACGGCCGAACACCAGAGCCGTGATGTTGTTCGACACGCTCGGCTTCAGGTACTCTTCCAGAAGGTTCGGAACGCCGGCCCATTCGGCTATCCGCTTGACCAAGTACTGGCATTCCTCCTGCGTTCTCAGTAAAATTAGGACTGCTTCACACATTTGCGGCTACTTACGACTGTGCGCCCTAAAAGCTCCTAAACTATCTCGCGACGAGAAAACACACTGCTGAAATCTATGGGTATAGCAGTGGAACACTTTCAGGTTGAGTGTACTTTTTTTTTTGCATCATTTTTTTTTAATTATTTGAAAACCTTTACACAATACCCTAAAGCGACTATTTCTCATTGATAGTACCTACATTTGATCTCGCTAATACCGAAAAACATTCGGTCTCGTGAAATGCAGTTCGAGGGTAAACTCATAGATGACTCCAGCGTCCCAGTGAGTTACTCTAGTCGGAGAGATTACAAGAATGTCGGTCCTAAGCAGATGCAAGTATGTGAACGGGCCCTAAGGGCCCGTTCACATACTTGCCAATCATGTTTTTTTAAACCTGTATACATTCAATTCAATGACAAGATGCGAACGGCAGGGAGGAATAAATTCAGAAAAAAAGTTCGCGCTGGAGGCGCGAACTTTCGTTTTTCGATAATGTTTCAGCGTTACGTGAGCCTTGAGCGTGCACGCGCATCCGAAGCAGGTGGAAGGCAACGAGCGCGTCCTGGAGCATAGCCTCCTATATACTGACAAAGCCTGACAGATCGCCTCGAGAAGCGGCCGCCAAAATGGAAAAGGTGGAGCGGCAGGCAAGGGATGGGATGTAGAAATAAATGAACTGCGCAAAGGACGAGGACAGAGGTAGAAACGAGTACGACACACGGAGCTTTGTCCTCGTCCTTTGCGCAGTTTAATTATTTCTACAAATCATGAACCAACTAGCCCGCCAAGATGTGTTACTTTAAGGGATGGGAGGGGAACCACGTTACTGGCGCCCCGCTGCGGCGAGACGCCAAAGCACACTTCTCTCGAGCGATCAAGTGTGTTCTGGGTCCTTGCCCCTGCAAAAGCTGTCCTCTGACGTCCAGGTTCCCCGAGAAATGGCTCTTTGATGCTTTGTGCTACCAGATCCTCTCGCTCTAAATTTGCGACCGGGCACTCCGTGGCTCCGTCATCGAACTGCCAGGCTTTGTGAGTATAGAGGAGGCTATGGCTAGAGGCATGGAGTTCGGAAGAGACGTCCTGCCATTCTCACTCTCCTCGTGACCATTGGCGATTATAAAGAAAAAAACTAAGGCGTAAGAAAAAATAACTTTTACCCGCCGCAAAAACCAAACCCCTGGAAGCTACTTGCGCAATTACTGTTGAGAACATCGTGAGGCCGTACATTTTGATTAAGATATTACCGTTATCCCGGACGAGGTATAAATACAATAGTAAGGTTAACAGTAGTTGGTTTCAGACTGTGCTTGCTCTAGCTCACATGCGAAATAGTTAATTGATTGGCGTGCCTATTCCCGCTAAGAATTTTACTTATGCTCAAGCAGTTGGGTGCTTCTCAAAATTGAACAGCAGACCTGCCGTGCTGCTTACTGCAACTTGTTGAAATAACCAGTTTGAATTACCTCGATTAAAATTTTTCTACAGCATGATCAGGTGCCACCCTACGTAGCAGTCATATGCTCGTTTGAGGTCATTGCTTTTGCTGTGTGATTGGCTCTGATGAAGCACAGTATAGCTTGGCTCGCTGACATGACTGGTTAGTTTTGTGACAGAAAACTCGTGGTGTTGCGAAAAGGTTCTCATGGCACTTGCCCGAACGCGTTCCTTCATTGACGTCTGACCAATGCCAAGTTCCCTCAGTGCATTTAAGCAGACCCGTCTGTTGTCGACCCAGGGTTTGCCGTTGAGTGTCGCCACACCTGTGTCGTTCAAAAGAGTTACAATAGACAGAATAAAAGCATCAGTAAACTTGGTGATTTGAGGAAGACGCAGTCGCTGCCCCGATAATTTCAACGCAAGCGGTCATACACTTGCTTTTTGTTTGATTGCATTCAGTAAATACTTAAACAACAGAATAAATTAAACCCAGCTATATACTGAAAAAAAGAGACAGATTGCTAATTTTTTGTATGAATAAGATGCATTCTATGACTATACCTTCGCAAATTGATTTTCATTTTATTCCTCAGTTTATTCTAGAATGTTTGAGTGGAATGCTCAAATGAGTCACTAAATCGAAATCGATTTCAAGGTAACAAATAAACTAATAAGGTCAGTTAAAAGGTAATACATTAATATAACTAATACTACCATCACACATTCGTTTAATGTACCAACTTTATAGGTAACGTAAAGCTCGGAGGGCTCGGATAACGCACCCAGAACTCCGGAATGCCTGATGATCCAATCAGAGGGACGGTGAACCATGTCTTTCCTGGTCATGAACGTCTTGATGGACTCAAAGTCATTCAGGATGACCACATTTCCAATACCGATGTTGATCCTGAAAAGTGGTTAGGCGTTACATCTACTACCGAAAACCAGATGAAGCGATGTAACTGGCTCTTCATTTTCTAAATTAGTTATGAGCAGAAATATTAAACGGAATTTAGTATGTGTTGTATATGAACGGCAACAAGCTTAGGGTATAACATCTCTTAATGATCTCCAAGTGGTGGAGTCAAATGTCGGCCGGAGGGCCCGCCATAGACGAAGCCTTATTGCGAGACTTATAACCGAGACTTCGGCTGCACGTCACAAGGTCCCTAGCTGGTAGAGAAATTAATCCTCAGAACTCCGCTGGGGCGTGTCAGATACCCTTCGTTGTTTTACATGTAAAACCCCCAATCTCTGGTTTTCTTGGTTGTGGAGTATTTTGAACGAGGTAGCCTTGTACGTATACATTTTCTTTCCCAATTGTCTATCTATGCTTCAGCTTGCGATCATTTTTATGCTATAAATTATTTTCAAATGTGCAAGCCCGCCAGCAGCTGCTGCGCCGATCATCCGAGGTCGCCATGGTTTGAGTATGCACTTTGAGCACTCCTTGCACACGACTGCTGCGTCCGTGTTCGGCGTTAACTCGGATCCTATCACACGCATCACGCAGGAAGCACTTCTCGAATAGACGGATGAATGGACGCTAACGGCTGTACCCTTTATAACGGGCGGTAGCTTGCGCCACCAAGCCTAGAAATTAAAATACGAAAGTATGATTTCTCCCTGTCCCCTTCTAAGCCAATTTTCTTCCCCTCTGCAATTTTGTAACTATCACCAAGTGGTGTAAGGTTATCAACAATATGATCTTTGGGGGATCGGGCACAAAAAAAAAAAAAAAAAACCTAAGAACCCTAAATTCTTACTCATGTCCAGGTATTTTTGAGGCGCTCTTCGATTAAGCGTGTACCAACCAGCCCACTTAGTCATTTTACTTTAAAAACACCCCCCCCCCCCTCTCTTCCCCGACGAAGGAGTCGCCAATTTTCCTCTGGTCAAACCTTTTCGGCGTTACCCCAGCACCGGACCCACTGGGAGACAGGGTTGACACTTTGGGCCGGAGCCACGCGGGAGGGAGTCCCGATTTTTCCTCCGTCCCGCCGGTCCCCAGCTGTGTTAGTTAGTTGTATGTCATTCAATTCTCCCTAGATAATTTTGATTGGGTGCCAAAATGTGGCCCCCGACAAGTGTTGCTCAATGAATTTTTGAAGAAGAGTATATCTTATGTAGCGGCTTTCCGCGCTCCTGAAACAAACAGTCATTAAGAGAATTACCGAGGCAGCTCTGCTTTCCAAATAAAAGGTCCACTGCAGCGATGCTTACTAGTAGAGCGGAGCGCAATTGGTATGGCCGCATTTACTCCCAAGTGCTCTGCAGAAAGTCTAAATATCTGGAGAGTGAAAATTAACGTACCTGCAATCTCACCCTGCATCTTCGCTACAAAAATGTAAGTTCAGGACTTGGTTTTTATTTAAGCTGTTGTCTTTACCGCACCCCACGCAGCAATGAACACAGTAATGCACACGCCGGTACCGCTGTGTGATGTAGGAATGGCGGGAACGATTTTCACTTTGCAGCAGCTGCGTAGCGGCCAAGGTTGAGGGGGGGGGGGGGGGGGCGGCACTCGGCTCCGGGTACTAGGCGTCCAAAGGAGGGGGGGGGGGGGGGGGGGGGGCGAGGCGACCGTTGGGGCATTGAGTCACGTGACTCGTTTGCAGAGGTAGTTTGGCTGGAATCACTCGCAGGGCCCATCACTATTATCTATCGTAAGGTGGAACGGAGGATTGCTACCGAGTACCTCCCCCCCCCCCCCCCTCAACCTCGGCTCGGATGCGATTACTTTATGCATCGGAGCAAGAAGAAGAAAAAAAAAAAGAGCGATACGACCTAAAAATCTTATTCTTGCACCTCACCTGAATATTGGTCCATATTCCCGAGCCCACTGTGCACATTGGTCAGGCTTGAAGCACTTGCTGATGAAAAATAAGTTCCCCACGATGGGAAGACCTTTGGGTCCCGGTGGCAGCTTGGGTTTCTGACCCTGCTGTCTTCTCCTGGACAGGGCGTGAATCAGAAACCCCGCAAAGACGGCGAGCAGCACTGCGAGCCGCGTGTTTCTTGACTCTAACACCGCATCCTGAACAAGCAAAATGGAGTCACAATTTCAGTGTGCTGAGAGCCATTCCTTGTCGTTCATAACAAGGTGATCATCACATTTATACTCCCACACGTATTCATTAGGTTGTTACATGAACCCCGACCTTATCTTGTGACGCGATCTCCCGATAAGCACAGCAAGTAGACGACGCACTCTTAGGTCTGCTCGCTGCATCTATCGGGAGGTGGCGCCACGAGTTCCAACCATTGCAGTCTCGGTCGGGTTAACAGAAAGGGAGTTAGACCTCGTAATTTCACCTGATGAAATGTACCACCTCAAAGCACATTCGGGGAAAGTTTGAGGTTTCTCGTTTTACAGCGCTAAGATTTAATGTGAACCCCCTATACCTCTACTCTTCTAAAATGATAAGCATCGCAATACTCAACTTGGCCGTACTGTAACGGTCACTATTCAAGTTTCTTTAGCGCAAGAACACCATCAGAAAGCCCTTATTATTGTTCCCTGCACCGTGCGAATCCCGTCGACGGATCCGCGCGATATATCAAACCCACATGTTACAAAAAAAAAAAAGATTGCCGATTTAACTGAGATTTTGTCATCCCGAAGTATGCACCCTTCTCACAATGTGCGTTTCAGTGGACTGAAAGCAGTGAACTGTGATGCGTTGACCTTTTCGTTATCCCGGCAGAGTTGCCCGCACTTTGACTCAGACAGATTCCAGAAAAGGCAACCATGTAACGGTGATTTATTTCGTGCGTGCAGAGATTCCCGGGCTGTCTAAATTAATTAACAACCCTTTCATTGAGTAGTTTCAGGTTCCCTACTATCGTGAACACTGAGATTTGATTTCATTTGCCTCTATTTTCTTAGGTTTTGTCCTCACTTTGTGCGATGAATTCCTTCGAAATTCGGAGGGCTTTCAGCAGTCATTCTTGTTGTGAACGATGCTGTTGTTATTTTTTTCGCGTGTATCGCCAGAGCCTGCCGAAGAGCTGCTCACGGGCTAGCCTCGTGTGAAGTATTATTTATTTATTTATACAAGAGTACTCTGAACGCCATCTATAGGCGAGCATACCGTAGGAAGGAGGTCAAAATATGTAAGAAATACAGAAACAAGTTAGAATTACAAAGTTCATGTGAGCATAACGAACAAAACGATGAGGTACAGAAACTAAACAAGCAAAATGTAGAATATAAGCAAAATGACGATGAAGTACGGATGAAAAAAACTAGACAAAAACAAAACCCCTTTTTTGGGGGAGGGCTGGGGGAAGGGGACGAAGGGGGGAGGCAAGGCGGGCAGGGCGTTTTGTTACACTGTTAATACCTAAGAAAGAATTCAACACCAAATGTCAGAAAACGGACAACACTTTTTTCGTACCCAATATACCCTTTGCAAAAGTGCACATAAAATCTAAGCGCTACTGCGCAAATTATACAAGCCGGCTATTGTTCGGGTATGTTCTCTGAGCATTTATTGGACACGAGAGCTGCGGCAGCGTTCGGTGTGAACTCGGCCCAGCTAGCATTGAAACGGCAGTGACTATTTCGACGTCCAGGCTCAAAATAAGCCTAAAAATTATTTTTACGTCCGTGGCCCTTCCTGAAGACGTGCAAATGTTTTGAAAAAATTTCTGAGGTCCCCCGTCAAAAATATTTCTGTAGTTATTTTGACGTCTCCTACTTTGAACTTTGGAGCTTAAAAGTGCGGGATGAAAAACAATCAAAAGTGGCGGTCAAAAAAAAAAAAAAAGTAGAAGCTTGCTTGCAGACGGTTTCGCGGTTCAACGAGCATTTCCGAAGACGAATATCACGCAGTCGACTGCAGTTTTTATGACCTCTAACGTCATGTGGAATGGGAAAAAATAAAAACATCTCGAAGTACAGCAATAGTTTTCAGGCCACTCTTTACTTTTGGTTTGTTGTGCTAAACAATTCATAATAGGGCACCGTTGCTTTTTATGACGTATTCCACGTATTTCACGTATTTTTTACGGACAAAGGTGCTGAAGCTTCATGAAGCGGCGGTTAATTGGCCATTTGTAATCGGAAAATGCTCGTGTCCCGTACAACCGCGTCGCAGACTGCAATTAGAATGTTTTCCCTGGAGTCAAAGCCTTTGTTGTTCGTTCGTACCGGTCAAGAAACATCAAGGAGGCAATGTTTGAATTCGCAAAATTTTATTTAACATTCCGATCGTTTAGTAGTCAACCCATTCGGTATACACGAGCCAAAAGCAAAATCTGAACTAAACAACGAACTCACGGATGTGAAGCGAGTCTCTGTAACTAGAGCCACTATATGAGCTACGCTCAGAGTAACGGCACTCCGTTCCCCGATCGGCTAGCGAGCGCCGCCATCTTGGTGCTTAGCGCAGAGCAGACGCAACTGTCGATCGTCGCAATTCAAAACTGTGACTTCCTCAGCTTTAGATACGGTGTTGGGAAGCTCAAGTTATCTTGTTTTTCTTTGTCGCGAACTGTCTTTAAGGGGATACTTCAACAAAATTGGAAATATACCCGTCGTGTTCAGAAATAGGCTGAATATGATCCCCTCGTAAATGACAACTGCACGTTTGTGTTTTGAAAAAATAATTTTCGTTATAAACGCCCCACCCTGGCAAGCGCTCGGAGAATAGCCAGCGGAGAGCAATCGTGACTTATATTTTCTCGGAACGAGCAAAGCTGCAGCAAGGTTGACGTCAAGAGGATGTCCTAACTGTTCCTGCCTTCGGAGCGGCCGAAGCACGCCAGCGATCGGGCCACGGCAACTAACCCCAGAGCTGCTTTTGTACGAATAGTGAGTGACGGGTTAGTCTTCTATGATATTGTTGAGGGACAATAGCGAAATGAGGGCCACACAAAACAGTGTCCCAATGATTTCTGTTGCGGTGGCCAGAGGGCTGGTGGTAGACGTCAGGTTCAAGGCATCCCTGTCTAGGAGAGACAGGGATGATCACTACCTGTAAAGTTTCTTACACTGACATTACAAACCAGCAGACATCTATAAGTTAATCAAAAAAAGTAATCAAGTTACTGAGTATTGGCCTCAAATGTAATTTGAGTAGAGTAGAAGCTACTCGAATGGAAAGTAATCAAGTAAATTTCTAACTACCGTAATAAAGTAGGAATTACTTTTGAAGTTACTTATATATATTTTTTTATATTAACAAGAAAGTACATAAATATTGTGATTCGTTAGCGAAATTCTGCGAGCCAAACATAAAGCGGCTTGTGTTTTCACATAAATGATTGAATAGCTGGTTCCGCTTCTGTATGATTATTTGTTTTGTAATTTTTGCTTACAGGTCTATGATGTACCGCGGATGTACCATTTCTACTTTGAGGTTTAACACTGCCTGAGCTTAATTTTTCAGACACTGTTTGCGTGCTTACAGTGTTGCGTAATGTACATCCAAAAAGTACTTGAAATAAAGTACAAAGTCAATTATAGGTTATGTACTTCAAGTATCGTAAAAACACCGGGTGCAATGTACTTGAAGTAAAGTACTATAAATACAATATACGTTTAAAGTAAGGTAAAAATACCTTTTAACACAATCTTTCATGACGCCCTTTCATACCGTATTTTTCTTACTTTATTTTATCTGGTATGCATTGCTGTGATTAAAGGAGAATCAGTTTTTTTTTTTTTTTTTTTCGGAAATGGCGGAAAATGTTTGATGAAGTCAAGTCGCCACGGAGTAGTTGTTTTTGTTGTTTTATTCTCTCTAACGAAATATTTAACACAATACACTTATAAGACACTTTTTTATCTGTCTTATATAGCCGCCATTACTTCACTCAGAGAAATTACCAGATGACGTCTGGAAAAAGGATAGAGCGTTTTCACATGACGGTTCGCCATTTCTTCTTTCCAATTTGGGGAATTTACCTTAAAATCGGGAATGTTACTTTCTTCAGAAATTACCATAAAAATACTTCAGTAAAGTACAAGTACATGGTCAGAAAATAAACTTCAAGTAAATTACACGTTTTCTAAACCTACTTGAAATACTACTTGAAGTACCATGGTCTTAATGTACTTCCAAATTCAGCTTGTTTTTGTATTGTTTTATGCTAAATTATTGGGGGAATTATTAAGCCTCTCGAACGCTATTCGAATCTTGAAAAACCTGCATATTCTGAGTTTCGGGAGAATTGCAACGAAAAAAAGTCACCTTTGCGTTGCCCTTTAGCACGCGATCCTTCAAGAACAGCACAAGCTACAGCAGCACCAGATGGGCTTCAGAGTGGGTGCTGCATTTTGTTGACTAGTTTGTGTGAGGCTGCAGTGTGTACACCTCCTGTAATGGGCGAGAGTTCCTGCTTTCGGGAGAAGCAAGGACAAACCCTTTTTTTAAATACGACGTCTCCTTGAGCTTCGAGACACAAAGAAATCCCAGTTTTCGGTGCTAATCTCCCATTTACTGGGCCTCACTTGCGACGTGTCTGTCCGCTCCCCGCGCCTGGTAGCAGGGTTGTTGCAGTGGGGGGCTCGTGAAATTTTTAGAGGGTTTCGAACACTCCAAACCACTCCACCTCCCCCTCTGGCCTATGCCACATGCTTCCCCCTTAGATGTACTTTACGCAACACTGTAAGCAAGCAAACACTGTCTAAAAATCAAGCTCAGGCAGTGCTAAACCTCAAAGTAGAAATGACATATTCGCAGTACATCACTAACCAAACAAACAAAAAAGTACAAAACAATTAGGCACGCAGAAGCAGAACCAGCTATTCAACCATTTCTGCGAAGAAAACAAGCGGATTCGTATTTGGCTAGCACAATTTCACTAACGGATCAAAACCTATGTACTTTATTATTACCATAAAAAAAAAAGATACAAATGTAACTTCAAAAGTAATTCGCTACTTTTTTGCGGTAGTTAGTAATTTTCTCAATTATTTTTATTTCAGTAATTTTTACTTTACTGAAATTACTTTTGAGGCCAATACTCGGTAACTTAATTTAATTACGTTTTTTGAGTAATTTGTACCTGTATGAATGTAGATCACAA